TTCCTGCTGGGCAGAAAAGACAGAAATGGGGGTTTGGGACTGCTGAGGTTGCTGAGTCCTTTTGAATCTCTGACTGAGGATTAAGCTGTACATATTTAGGGCAAGATTCTGCAAGGCCTGGCAGAGAACAGTTACTGGGGGCTCTAAGCTGAATGGAGTTCGTGAAGGTCATATAGTGCTGGAAGATGTTTGTGCTCTATCAGAAATAATGAGAAGACCTCACAGATAACCCAGGACTTCAGTTGAGACTCCAGAAATGCAATGCTTTAGGATTAGAGCTCTATTCTAGAGCAAGGCCTCTTTAGACTCTCCCTAAGGAAGCTTAACATAAAGCTTCAACAGGATCAAGCTGACCCACCAGTGAGTTAACTGCCTGCCGAAACAAAACCACAAACTCTTTAAAAGGGAAATAACATCCAGATTCTAAAGTGGCATCCAACATGACTAGAATATAATAAAAAATTATTAGACATGCAAAGAAGCAGGAAAATGTGACATTTAACCAAGAGAGAAAATAATCACTAAGAACAGACTCAGAAAATAGCTGCCATACCAATCCTGGAATGCCTATTCCTTCGACTTATGTGACACAAAAATAAACTTCCTTCACATTAAAAAAAGGACTCAGAAAATAAAATAGATGTTGGAATTATTAGACAAGAATATTGTAATTTGATTAACCACCATCCCCCCCCAATTTGGTGAAAAACAGATTTAAAACCTCACAAACTCCAAGCAGGCTGAATATAAAGAAAACTTATTTAGGCACATCATAGTTGAATGGAAAAAAATACAAAGAATTTATTTTAAAAGAATCTATTAAAAGGAGCCAGAGAAAAAAGGGGAACAAAGATACACAGTATACTGGCTTCTCATGAGAAACCTTAGAGGGTAGAAGACAGTGAAATGACTTCTGAAAGGAAAACAGAACTGTCTACACTGAATTTTATATTCTGTGAAACTCTTCTTCAAAAACAAAGGTGAAGTAAGGACATTTTCAGATAAACAAAAACGGAGAGACCGTGTCATCAGCAGACCTAAACTGCAAGACATACTAGAGGAAGTTCTTCTGGCTGAAGAGAAATGACCATAGATGGTAACTTAGTTCTACAGAAAGGAAAAACAAATCTGGAAATGGTGACTATGTGGGTAAATACAAAACTCTATAAATATTTCCCCCAAAGCTTTTAAAACAAAAAATTATAATACTCTGTTGTGGGGTATATTATACACACACACATGCACACATACCAACATTATAAAAGATGCCTGGGCGGTTTGAATTGTTGCTAGGTTCCTATATTTCATGGGAAAACTCTAAGTAGATTGTGATTAGTTCAAGAGACCTACTAAAACTTAGAACAACCACTGCAAGTGTGACGCAACAAGGTAAAGGCTGACATGCCAATTGAGAGATGAAAATAGAATACTAGAAAATATACAATTAATAACAAGAAGGTGGGAAAGGAAGAGCAGAGGAACAAAAAAGAGATGAAGCCAATAGAAAACAAATAGCAAAACAGTGGTGCTAAATCCAACCATATCAATAATTACATTAAGTGTAATGACCTAAAAATTTCAATTAACAGGCAAAGTTGTTAGATGTGGAAAAGTAAGTTTCTACTATATGCTGTCTATAAGAGAAGAAATTTGAATCCAAAGAAGCAAATAGGTTGGATGTGAAAGGGTGGAAAAAGATGGACAATGCAAAAAGTAGGAATAGTGAACCTGGAAGAAAAGGCAATAGAATTATCAGAAAAAAAGACTTCAAGACAAGGGAGTATTATTAGAAATAAAAATAATTTCATAGTGATAAAATGGCCAATTCATCAGGAAGTTACAGTAATTATAAATGTGTTTGCATCTACTAACAGAGCTTCAAATACTTGATGAAAAATCTGAAAGAACTAAAGGATAAAACAGACAAATCCAAAATCATAGGTGGAGATTTTAACATTCTAAGCTTCAGTAACTGGTAGAACAAATAGACAAAAAAACTGAGAAATCATATAGACGATCTGAACAATACTATCAACCACTCTGAACTAATTGATATTTTATAGAACGTCACACCCAATAATTGAAGAATAAACATATTGTCAATTACACAAGGAACACCCAATAACATAGACCACATTCTACATATAGAACAAGATTTGATGAATTCTAAACAAATGAAATCTTACAGAGTATTTTCTCTGCCCATAATGGAATTAAACTAGATAACAACTTCATTAAGCTATCCAGAGACGACCTAAATATGTGGAAATTAAACAACATACTTCTAAACGACCACTGAGTTGAAGAACAAATCGCAAGAGAAAAATAATTAAAACTGAATGATAATGAAAATGAGGCAGATCAAATTTGTGATTGCAACTGAAGCACTGCTAAGAGGGAAATTTATATCATCAAATGCTTGCATTAGAAAGGAAGAAAGGCTTAAAATCAATACTCTAAGTTTCAACCCTTATAGGCTAGACAAAAAGGAGAAGCAAACTAACCCCAAATTAACTAGAAAGAAAGAAATGATAAAGAACAGAAATTAATAAGCTAGAAAACAGATAAAGAAAATTTAAAAGGTCAAAAGTACAACATTTTATTGTGTTTCAACCCACAGAAAACCCAAAGATAACAACTGTGATTCATTACTGACACTGTGCATGAGATCAACCCAGGAGAACTGCCCCACGGCTACTTCAGTAGGGCTGGAGCTGGTGGCCATTTATAGCTCTTTTCCCTCGTCCAGTCTTGGATGATGAGACACAAGGTTTGCCCTGATCACAACGCAGGGCAGAGCCTTCCTGCACGAAGGGCAGCACTCTGCATTTTTCCTTCTCTTTACCCAGTGCATCAGGGACAGTCATCTTGCATATCTCCAGGCTCTGCAGAGCTAGGTTATGAGGATGCTGCTGCAGGGCCCCACTAGGTTGTGTGGACGAGTTCAGGGTGGTTAGTGCAGTGGATACATTAGGATTCTGTCCTTGGCATCTCCTTCTACCCCCTAGGGGTTTGGTGCGGGATATCAAGTTGTGTGACGACTAAGTGGTGTCACTATTAAGATCGTATTAATTTGACACACTGATACCAGAATGTGACTTGACATGCTCCCCATCCATTAGTTTTAGCTCTTTTGCTATCAGTTTTAACTTCTATCCCTAACTGCAGAAGACACAGCATCTACTGATTGTTCTAATTTCCAAATCACTTCTAGCACCCAAACACACTTCTTGATGCTTTCCCTGTACTGGTGGTATGTGTGTCTGAGAGGCTGGTTATTACCTGCACAAGGGCATGAATCTTAAAGCCAGATTCTTTGAGAAGACTGTAATATTCTTCCATTCGATCATGCTGATCATCCATAGAGAGAAGGCATTCCTTCTTCCCATCTTTTCTCTTAAATATTGGCGACGCCCATGTTTTCATGATGTTTTGAATCTCTTCCACGTTGTCTTTCGTTTTCTGAACTCTTTGTTCAAGATCATGAATACTATTGGTGATCTGAATGACATAATCCCAAATGCCTGTTCCCCAAAAGAGAGAGAATTAATGGAAATAGCTTACAGTGGTAGAGCAAAAGGTCTGGTTGCTATGAAACATAGGGATTTAATACCTGTGGGTTTTATAAGACTTTTCTGCACAGGTTAGTTTGTAATCATCAGAGCCTTTTCCTTCCTAGTTGCAACAAAAAGCCACCCCTTACCATGACCCTGGTTATGGCCTTGGTTATGAGCTCTTTGAAGGTAGGGGTCACGTCCCCTGTATTTCATATTCTCCTCACAGTCCTGCACATGGTGCCCTGTACATGTTAATCAGTCAATGAAAGTTTATTGAATTGCGCTGGAGGATACAAGAAAAGTAAATGCATAGTTCCCTCATTTAAGATGTTTATGGTCCAGTTAAGAAAAGTAAGTAACAATGATAATGTAGTAAAAATCCTCCTCCATGGAGTGCCCAGTATATGCTGGAGACTGCAGGAGAGTTCATGAAAATTCCCCAGAGCATGGCAGCAAAGCTGTCTAAACCTCCCAGGCACGCAGAGGAGGCGGAAGAGGGACGCCGTTCCTCCTTGTCTTCTCTACGTCGGGCGCATATCTGAGAGGACAGACTCGTGCTTCAAACCCAAATCAGATTAACTGGGGAATGAAGTGAGGTTCTACCAACTTTATTAGAGTCTTGACTCCCAACCTTTCCCCAGACCCCAGGTGGTCTCCTGTTACCTTCTGTTTTCCAGCTCAGAGTCTCCTCTGCAGCTCTCAAGCAGAGATCGATATTTTGCAGCTCTTCCTGCACTAATGGAAATTCCACCTCTAGCAGAGTTTTCATAACCTTGTTGTACCAATTTGCCATCAGCTCCAATTTAGCCACAAGCTGCCGACAGAATTCCCTGGAGGAGAGCATGGCTGCTGCTGTCTCAGGGATGTGCGTCATCTGCTGGGGTTGAAGATCACTCATTTCTTTCAGCACGGAAGTCAGCTGGAGAAAAGAATCGACATAAGTGGCTGTAGTTCAGTGGCAGCAAATAGCAGCCGTATCAATCGGGACTGGGAAACCTCAGGGGCCCAAGGGCTCCAGTGGCTCTGGGCCAGCTCTTCGTTGCTGCCCGGATAACCCTACTCAGGGTTAAGACAAATTCTAATCCTTTAGCAGGGAAATGACCTTAGCCTCCGAGTTTATATTGAAATAAGCTCAAGATAGATATTAAAAATTTAAATGTAAAAAATGAAAACAAAAAATGTGGACGATTTATATAATATTGAAGTAGAGAAGATCATTCCAAATGTACAACCAGAAAATAAAGATAAAATTTATATGCATAAAATATCACACATATAATAAAATGCCACACTTCAACAATAAAAATATTTGCAGCAGATTTCTTAATATCTGACAGATATTTCACAGTCTGACAAATTCACAGGAAAAGAGAGCACTTTCACTCAAAAGTGGGCAACGGATATGAATAAGCAATTCATAGGAGAAGAAACATAAATGTCCAATGAACACAAGAAAAACTTTCTACTTTACTAGCGGTCAAATAAATGCAAATTAAAACAACATTGAGATATTACATATTTTTTGGTTCAACAGGTTAGAAGTGATTTGAAGACATGAATGATATCTTGCTGGCAGGAGAATGCCTGAGTTACATCTTTCTGAAGAGCAAATTGATAAAATACACTAAAACTCTCAAAATGTGAGCACCCTTTAGCCCATCAATCCCCTTTCTAGGCATTGATCCCAAAGAAATACGGTGCAATAATAACTAAAGATGCTTATTGTAGCATTATTTATAACATATTTTATCCAAATATAAGATGCCATTAATGGTAAGATTCAGTAGTATTTTATGTGAGAAATTTTATGTCAGTAGTATTTTATGTCAGATTCAGAAATATTTTAGTATTTCACCTAAGGAAGAAAAAAATGTGGTTTATTTAACTATAAACACATGCTATTTTCAGAGATATTAAGATATAAAAAACCCGTGTGTGTCCTAGAATCAATGAAATACAGATGATAAAACTAGAAAATATTTAAATGCCCAACAGAAAATTTTAAATAAATTATTTAATATATAACAAATTACTAAATATATATCTATATATGTTTCTAACCCATACAATTCTTATCCTGGTCAAATCTTTGATCATGTCCCTCTAGAATGACAAATGTGTTACTGTTCATTCTTCATAGCGTAGCTGTTGCCACTTTGCTTGAGGTTGGAAGCCAAGGGATATTCGTAGCCCTTCTCTGACTTGTGTTTGTAGTCGTCTCCCCCTGACTCACATTATAATTTAGGTATGTATCTCCCTCCCCTTTTCTTTTCTCACCCCTTTCCTCTCCCTCCTTTCCCTTCTATCACTTACAAACACCTGTGAAGCACCCACCATGTGCTGCACGTGGAAGCAGACAGAGTCCTTGTCCTCGGAGCATATAGACGAGGGCCCATCTTCAATACTGTCTTACACCAAGGACTTAATTACTACAATTATACCATCTGGACTGCAGCCTAGTTGGTAATCCAGGTACTCAATTCTTTGGGCATTTAATATTCAATATTGCTCAAAGCGAATGCTGATAAAATTACTCCAAGGATTTAATGAGTTCAACCCCAGACTCATGTCTTGCCAAAGTGAAGAAACGAACCCTCCAACTCCCTTTGTTGACTTTTATTCTAGGGGGAATTGATGTTCTACTTAAACTGGAATTATCTCAAAAGAAACCAATATTCTGTCAGCTTAGCTTTCACCTCTTCCTATGCTACATTCCTATGGAACATGCCTTCAAGACAGAACTAGGAGACTGCCTTTAGCTCGGTGTGGCCAATACCTTTCTTCAATTTTTAAGCTGAATGATGTACATCCTGATGTGGGCTTGCTTTTGGTTATAGTTTTCTCCAGCATTAAGCTTTCCATGGCTGCTACAGCCCACTGGTCTTCTACCCTTTCTATTTAAAGCAGGGTTTCTCAACCTCAGAACCATTGACAGTTTTGGACAAAAAACTCTTTGCTATGGGGTGCTGTTCTGTTCATTGTAGGAAGTTTGTATCTACTTACACCATGTGCTACTGGCACCCCCTTCACGTTTGACAACCAAAAATGTCTCCATTTTGGGGACAAAATTGCCTTGGTTGAGAACCAATAATCTAGTCTCATTTCCAAAGCTACTACTTGGAGATTTATCATATGCTACCTAATGAAACTAGACTTTTGCACGTTGAGATTCTGGCTTCTAACTAGCTTGTGGGCTCTTGGGAGTCAGGAACCAGGTCTTACACTTGATTGGCCCTCTAGCATCTAGTCAACAGCCTTCACCTGCAGTGTGTATTCAAGGTAGGCCCAGTTGACTATGGTACCAAACGGTATCACTATGCTACCAAGTGATATTTTGCAATATTTTCTGTTGTGCAAAATCAAAGCAAATATACTGGGCTGACCCTGGAGAAAAATGTGAACAGTGGACAACTTAAGAAAACACTACACCCTAAGATTTATCCCAAAAAAGAAATCCAGGGTGCAAGTTCTTTTGAGCAGCTTTTGCATATTCCTATAGAAAAGACTTTTTGCCTTTGAAATCAGCAGAGTCAAATGAAACTCTTCAGAAACCAAGAGGAAGTTACTGCCTTTGGACTTACCTGTGGGCTAAAGTTGACAGTGATCTGCTTTGTCTCTGGATCACGTTTCAGAAGTGGCCGGGAAAGGTTGTACTGCGACTCCTCTGATACTGTTTGACACCAGTCCTCGTAGAGTCTTGTCTCATACCTGTGAGGATCAGAGATGATGGTCACCTCATGAGCACCCTCCCAGCTCCCCAATGCCTGGCAATGATTAACTGAAGATACATCTTTCTATATATAGATATATATAACATAAATGACATAGCTATATATGTATATATATATAACATCTCTATAGCTACCTATCTATCTAATCCAACCATGCATCTATCTATCTTTAATATGTATATCTCAGGAACTGAAGATGCTATTAGTAAAATACCTGAATACATTCTTAAGTCAGAGTCATTGACTCAGCCAGGCAAGTCAGCTCCTGCAGGTAACCCCTCATTTTCTAAAGGTGGCAAAGCTTAAATCAGAGGAGAGTAGAAAGAGAGACCCCATGCGATCTTCTGGGAGGATAAGGGAAGTGGTGATTAGTTTCAGTAAATGTTGGACGAATTTATCAGGTTAAGATTTGTTCTCATGCTAATCTTCACGTGGCTCACGGACATTCACTGTTCAGTCATTACACGTTGATGTGTTGGGCTTGGGAGATAAAACGATGAATAAACATCCCATGGTAAAGGCAGCTAGTGGTGCAACCACGGGTCAACAGAGAACGCAGAAAGTACAATCCCAGGCAGATGTACTGGGCATTAGGCTTTGAATGGCAGAGGTAGGTGGGTGGGTGGGGGTGATGAGGAGGATGCCAGGGAGGGCCTCACGGAGGAGGGGCTGAAGCGATGCTTGACTGAGTCTCAGGATGAGCAGCAGCTGGGCAGTGAGAGGGAGTGAGCGTTCCGGGCAGGAGCAGCAGCGTGGACCAAGGTTGAGGCAGGGAGCAGCAGATGGTGTGCTGGGGAGAGTGAGCAGACAGTGCACCTGAGGGAGGAGAGGGCAAGGGCCCAGGCATCAGGGAGCACATTTCGGGTCATGGTAAAAAGGAGCTGGTGGGAGACACTGAGAGGCCTCCCCGACAGGGGATGTGAGGAAAGGGGATTTGGTGACAGTGTGGGCGCTAAGGGGCACAGGTCCAGAGCACAGAGGCTCTTAGGAAGCCACTGCAGCAGTTCAGGCCTGAGAGGCTCTGGTCTCTGGTGAAATGTGGGTGGTGGGTGCAGAGAGGAGGGGACAGATTTGAAGCTCATATTTGGGAAGTCGAAAGGGTAGAACTTGGGTGACCTGGCAGGTGGAGGTGCTGCCTGCTAAGATGTCTCCACAATGCTAAGGGTGATCATAACTATAATCATAATCATAATCTGTACGGTGCTCCTCTTCTGAATCAGGAGAATATTACAAGGCAAGACACAGACTGTGTCTGGGCCCTGCTCCCCCAAAAGACTGACTGCAGCTTTAAAGAAGGAACAACTATGAACCCATGTAAATTCTTCGTTCGTATGCTTTCTCTGTTAAAGGATGCAGGAAGTATTTTTTAAACTTATTGTCTCTTTGTGCGGCACCAACTGCCAATTTCTGCTTAGCAAGCAGCTGCTGAGATTTTCCATGACACTGATCTCGGGGTGCCATGAGGAGCGCCCCCACTTCTAGCTCTGCCAAGTTCACATTCCCAACAAAACTGCACTGGAAAAGTGCTCATTTCCAGACTAGAGCTGCATTGCCCGGAGCCCTGCTGTTTGCAGCCCTGAAGCACTGTACTCACAGATATTGTGGTTATAACATAAAACACAGAGCGACACTTCACTGCCACTGAGAAATGTGCACAAACTCAGAACTGCAGAAGGCATGGTGGGGGCTCTGCATTTGCAGAACGATCCAGTCCCGGAAACTGCTTACTTTTCCAGCAATGAGAGCATTTCTTCATATTTTTGTATCATGCGCTTTCCTTCGGCAGATTCCATGCAACTACCCATACAAAAGAGAGGGAAAAAATGACATCGAATTAGAAGAAGTGAAAATAATGATCTGAGTAACAAACTGCAGCCTATAAAGAGGAGACTGAATAGCTTCCCGGGCAAGTTTCCAAAGGCCCCTAAATGAGCCTGCACTCTTCTTCCTTAACATCTGCCACCGGCCACTAGAGGGCATCTGCACTTTCCCAAATGCAGTCAGCGCCCAGGTGACAGGACAGCCCCTACCCACCAGGGCTCCGCCAACCCCCTCACCCTGGCTGAGCCAGTCTTGCGTGTGTAAAATGAAGTCCTTCAAAAACCAGGAGGGAAATTGAGACATGCAAGAAAAATTCTAGGTGTTGCAGTTTTCTGTATTCAAGAACAAAACTGTATGTAATGTTATACATTATAACAAAAACTATATAACATATGTGTATATATGTATATAACAGTGCACATATAAATAGCAATATATATATATATATATACATCCCACACACATATACAAATATTGTCATATACATAACAACCTGTATGTATATATTCCCCTTCTCTGAAATCCATCTAGGGCACGTGATGAGAAATATTCTGCCTCATTACTCATTGCCACATTTATATGAGGTTCCCTCCCACCTCTTATGTCCCCAAACTTGAGCACACAAAATGCACATACATGCACACAGACACACACATGCACACACTTGTATGCTCACATGCGCAGACACTCGCTCGGAGGCTCCCCTGGGTCCACTGAGGACCACGGAGGCATCCTGGCCACACCTGCTCCCCGCTTTTGACACTTCTCTACAGCACAAAGTGAAGAGTCCAGGTCCTGGGAAAGTGGGTGAAGTATCTGTAATCTTCAGAAACCTTCGCACTAACTGTGCTGGAGGATCTTGTTTGTTCTGCTAGCAAAACGAGGCAGCTTATTGCAAAGATTCTTTAAAACCCATTTGCTCTTTAAATCTTCACAGGCTCCCCGGAGCTTCGAGCTTTGAATTAAGCCCTCACGCCTGCAGAGAAAGCATTGGATTTCCTGGAGTTTTTCCCAGTCGCTCGGTCCTCTTGCCTCGTGAAGGAGCAGAGGTGTCTGCAGGACAGTGAGGACAAGCCCTGACCCCAGATCTCAGTTTCTACCTGGAAAAGAATGAGGCTAGAGGAGAAAGTGGCTTCTGCACCTCGGCCCCTGGGACTTGCCTGGGAGGCTTGAGAAGTCACAGGAATAAGTGCATCAAACCCCCTGCGGGTTCTATTTCACTTCATGGCGAGGAATCAAAACCATTTTACTAACAAATTCATAAATATATTACAGAGTATACATGAGAATGTGAACTTCCATGGGAACTGTGGAGGACGTGGTGGGGTGCCATTCAGACACCCTCTCAGGACCACCCCCACCCCCAATCTCCCCCACCAGGAAGGCTGATGAAGTATAGCTGCCTCCCTCTTTGAGAACAGCCTCAGCCAAAGAGACAGAGCTGCTTCCTCACCCAGGGTCAAGCCCCTCCCTGCCCCACAGCACACTTCCACCGACCAGCTGATGTGGGGTACAAAGGCCAGGCAACCCTAAAGGGTCAGACTTCCCCATTGGATGAGCTGAGGCCTACTTGCAACTGTGCTGCAGCTCAGCTTCTCCTCTGCCCGATCCCTCCCCACTCCCTCACAGGTGCGGGTACCAAGAGCATCCCTGTAAATTCCTGCAGGCTGCCTCAGCTCTGCTCCAGGGAGCTGGACCAGGACTGCTTCCTAGAAGCAGCCCTGCCACCCTCCCCGCCCATTCTCATATCTTCTCCCTCCTTCCCTGGGAGGCATGTTTGGGTAGATGGGGGCTCAGCTGGACTCCGGGCCAAGCTTCCTATGGCTGGGGGGGGGGGTCCCCTAGGAGAGCTCTGGGTGAGGACCCCTGAGACCCAGATGCCTGTTCCAGTTCTGTCCTTGCTATCTTTGGACTCCAGGCAGGTCACCTCATTTCTATCTGCCTCAGTTTCTTCACCTGCACAACGAAGAGCTCGCTCAGACAGAGCAGACACTGCAGACGGATCTCCCACTGGGCAGGTCTGACTCACGGGCACGTTTGTTTGATTTGTACGGAGTTTAAGGAAAAGAGGAATACTTGCTGCTTTTAAAGTAAATCTAGATTTCCGGCTTCTCTCCAACAGTAGGGAGATTTCTCACATTGAGTCATTCTTCCTCTTGGCAACACGGGGTGATGTGGTGGAGGCTCCCTTCAGACCACAACCTGGCTATCTTTCATTGTCTTTCTGGCCTTTGAAAGTGGTTAGTCTTTTTAAAAAAAATTGTTTCCAGTTTTATTGAGATGTAACTGATGTAAAGCACTGTGTAAATTTAAGATGTAGAACATGACTCGACTTACATATACTGTAAAATGATCACCACAATGCGTTTAGTTAACATCCATCATCTCATATAGATACGAGAAAAAATGAAAAAACTGTTTCTTTCTCCTTGTGATGAGAACTTTTAGGATCTACTCACTTAACAACTTTTATATATACCATGCAGCCGTGCTAACTACAGCCATCGTGGTACTTGACATCCTCAGTATTTATCTTTTAACTGGAAGTTGGTAAATTTTGACCTTCATCCATTTCCCCCACCCTCCTCCTCAAACCTCACCCCCCATAACCAGATAACCACAAATCTGATCTCTTTTACTATGAGTTTGGTTTTATTTCTTATTTACAGATTCCAGATATAAGTGAGACCGTATAGTATTTGTCTTTCTCTCTCTGCCTTATTTCACTTAGCATAATACCCTCAAGGTCCATCCATGTTGCAAATGGCAGGATTTCCTTCTTTTTTATAGCTGAATAATATTCCATTACATATGTGATATATATATATGTATCACATCTTCATCCACTCATCTATCAATGGACGCTTAGGTTGTTTCCATGTCTTGGCCACTGTAAATAATGCTGCTGTGAACATGTTGTGTTTGCCAAAGTCAGGTGTTTTCAACAAGATGGAGTCTTTAGAAAGAGGGGTCAGAGAAAGCCTGCCCTTCCCCAGGCAGCACCCTCAACAAGGTATTGCAACAGCTCTTCTCTCGCTCTAGCAGCCCAGATGCCTCTAACTAGCTTGGCTTCCAGACTCAGCTGTGAGGCAGGCCAATAGTTTCCAAACCTGGTCACCGTTGGATCATGGGGAGAGTGTGCCAAGGAAGCAGATCCCAGGCACCACCCTGCCCTGAGATCTGGATTTAGTAGGTGGGGGGTGAGGGCTGGTAATCTGAACCATTAGCAAGCACCTGGGATTTCTAATACATGAGGCCCTCACACCACATTTCAGGAAACGCTGGGCTTCATTATTCTCCAGCAGCCTCAGTAGTAAAGAGCCGCCTTGTCAGAGGAGATGTGTGGAGGAATCCAAAGAGCTTGAAAACCCTGACTCATTTTCCCCTGGAAATGAGGACTCTGCTGGAGCAAAAGGAGCCAGCCTGTGTCCAGTAAGCCTCACCTGACACCAAGGAACCCACTCTTCAATCCAAATGTATCCATCTCATTAATGCTTGGCCAGTAGTACCTGGTTGCTATGAACTGAATGTCTGTGTCCTCCCCAAATCCATATGTTGAAGCCTAAGGTGGTGCCTTGGGAAGTGATTAGGTCATGAGGGTGGAGTACTCATGAATGGGATGACTGCCTGTATAAAAGAGACCCCAGACAGCTGCTGAGTCCCTCCTGCTGCATCTGAGGACACAATGGGAAGACAGCCAGCTGAGAGTCAGGAAGCAGGTCCTCTTCAACAGACACCAAATCTGCCAGCACCTTGACTTTGGACTTCCCAGCCTCCAGAACTGTGAGAGAGAGATTTCTGATATTCTTAAGTCACCCCGTCTATAGTGTTCTGTTACGGCAGCCTGAACGGACTAAGATACTGGCTGATTGCTGGAAATGGAAAGAAAAGAAGATGATTTTTGTGCCTCAAGTAACTGAGTTGTATTGCTACAATATTCGAAGTCCAGAGCGGGAGCAGAAGCCTGAAACAAACCTGCCTTTCAGCAACGAGGTACTCACGGGTGTGTCATGCGTCTGAAGTTGTCGAAGGGACCCTGGATGCGCTGCCTCAGCTCCTGCGCCCAGCGGGGCCTCCCGGCCACAGCGGGCACGTTCTTATGCACGGAGGAGAAGCCTGGGGACAGGGCACAGCAGACTGAAGCGAGGCTCCAGGCCTGAGCCCCACTCTACCCACGAACACTCTCCCACCTCCCACCACTTGCACTTTTTGCCTCATCCACCTCCACCTGCTAAAGTCGCCCTGGGCTTACGCTGAGATGGAAATTCCTGGGATATCACCGAGTTCTGCTAAGGGGGAAGGAAGAGTGCCCTTGGGAAGAACGCTAAACAGCAACAGAGGACAGCCGTTCCCAGCCCAGCTCTGTCACTCACTGGCTTTCTGACTGCACACCTGTGACTTTCAACCCAGCTGCACATCAGCGTCACCTGGGGCTCTTCTAGAAACACTGATGCCTGGGCCCCATCCAAGCCATTCTGATTTGATTGGTCTGCATGGGGCCTTGTCATCAGTATTTTTAGAAAGCACTCAGGGTAATTCTAATTGTACAGTCAGGGTTAAGACACACTGCCTTGGAACATATGTATATATATAACTGATTCACTTCGTTATAAAGCAGAAACTAACACACAATTGTAAAGCACTTATACTCCAATAAAGATGTTAAAAAAAAAAAAAGACACACTGCCTTAAACAGACAACTTAATCTCTCAGGCCCTTAGGTTTTTCACATATAAAATGGGGATAATATCTTCCTCACTTAACTTCCAGGGTTTCTGTGAGAATTCAGTAAGATTATGCATGAGACACAGGCCACGTGGATTACAAAGCCCTTGACCAGAGTTAGCACAGCCTGGGTATTCCTACTTCAGTCCATTCAGTGGGTTTGTCTGCTTATGATCAGTTGTCAAAATTAATAATTGTAAGATTTCATAAAAAAAAAACAACAACTCAGTTTCCAGCTTCTCTGATAAAACTGGGAAATATAGCAACCATCAGCCCCCTTTCTAACTAACTGTAGGAGCTGAATATTGGTCTTGTCCTTTAGTTGACCATGGACCCCACCACTCCCTGATGCCTTACACTCAGCCCAGGTCCAACAATGTCATTTTCTACTTGGCTTCCGTGGTAGGCAAAATTCTAAGATGACACCCAATGACCCTCACCCTTGCATGAGTCTCTCCTCTTTAAGTGTAGGTGGAAACCGAATGTGATGAGATAGCACTCCTGTGATGACGTTACATTATATGGCAAATGGGAGATGACCCTGGGTGGGCCTGACTTAATGAGGTGAGGCCTTGAAGAGAAGAGTTTTCTCTGGTTATTGGCAGAAGGGGAAGTCAGGGATCTGAAGCATGAGAAGGATTCAACATGCCATTACTGGCTCGAAGATGGGGCAGCTATGTGGTTAGGGATGGGAGGGCTTCTAATCTCTGAGAGCAGGCCCTGGCTGACAGCCAACAAGGACACAGAGACCTCAGTCCTGCAGTCACAAGGAACTGGATTCTACCAACAAAAATGAGCTGAAGTAGATTTTTCCCCCAGAGACCCCAGATGAGAACTTGGCCCAGTTGACTGATTTCAGCCTTGAGATTCTGAGTGAAGAACACAGGCACACCAAACTGGGCTGCAGACCTACACAACTGTGAGCTCAAAGATGGATGTTGTTTTAATCCACTAAGGTTGTGATAATTTGTTATGCACAACAGAAATTCAATATGCATCTGAAGGTGTCTGAGTTTTCAAACTCTGCATCCCACTGTGAGAAGTCAGGAGGATGGTCCCTCATAAAGCTGAGGCCAACAGGTTTTTCTGGGATGACTTCCTAAGTGGAAGTCATTCTTAATGACCTCACTATGAAACCTGTTTATAGAAATAGTGGTCCTGTTATGCCATTACTTAAAAACTTTTGAAAATTTCCTGTTGCCTTTATGATGAATTCCAGATTCCCTAATAGGGAACTCAGAGCACTTCATGACCTGGCTCCAAACTCGATGGCTGACCTGATCTCCCTCTATATACCTTGTTTGGCTCAGGCAGGTCTGACTGGTCACCTGCCACACCGTTTCTTGCCTTTGCATCCAAGACCATTGCCTCTTCTCCCTGGCTGTCCATCTCCCCATCTTTCAGGGTCAAGCTCAAGGCCACCATCTCCATAAACTCTTCCTCCCACCTCCCAGCCCAATTCATCTTGTTTTGCTACAGTTCTTTATAACTCTGTTCATGCCAATCGCGTTCCTTGAAGAACCACCTGTTAGGATAAATTATTCTCTCCCTTACCCTGGCCTGCCTCTGCATGTGGTGCCCACAAATTTACCTTGCATATAGCAAGGGCTCAAGAAACATTTGCAAAGCTGAACTGAACTTGTGTTTGACTTTCAAACAGACAAGACAGGGCATCTAAGAATTACAATAACCTCGGTGTGTTACTGCCCTTTGTCAGGCTCCTGCTGGTTCCTCCTTCCAAAAGCATGGTTGATAAGGCACTGGAAGGGATAAGAACCTTTTCTCAGGCATGTACAAATCTACTGTGGAATTGAGGTATGTTAAAGATTAATCAGTGTGGCGACATTGATTGAGGGTCAACTCACACATTACGCTGAGTTCTAAACTGACCCGAGGCAGTGGTCAGGACTTCACTGCTCTGGGTCTGTCTGCCAATCCTGCCCTAGACACAGGGAAATGCACAGTTCAGTGAACTCTTCAATCACCCAAGTCTAGAATTTCAAGCAAGAAGGTTATGCTCTTGGAGAATGCCCTGGATTCACAGCAGACGTGTAACAAATACAGAAGAGTGGCACCCTTTCTGGTAACAGATGTCCCCCATTCAAATGTGATAACAAGCTTACCATGCTCCACCTCCTCCTGGACATGCTGACTGTAGATCATCCTCACGGCATCCAGGTCCTCGCTGAACATGCGGATGAGCACCAGGTACTTATCAGATGTGTCCCGTGCTACCAGTGGTCTCTCCAGGAGGTTTCCTGCTATGTCTAACAGCTACAGAGGAGGCAGAAAAGAAGGGGAAAAGTCACAGATTCAACTTTTCCAAGGTTACAATTATCTTGTATCCTGGTTTTTCCTTCATATGTCTGTCCACAAATGTAAGAGGGTCAAAAAACCGTTACTGTGCAACTGGATGGATAATTATGAATTGGCTGAATATTCATAGTCTGTCCCTCTGGTCTTTGTTTCGGAAGGAGGGATTCCTGTGTGCTGAATGACATACCAGACCCTGCCGTGTTGTAAGAACCTGGGTAGAGGGTTCTTATGAAAATGAAAGATGTCAGAAAGGGTAAGCTGATGTACATCATAAAGACCTAACGCAGATATGGAGGGTGATGACGGAGAAGAAAAATGAAGCTAATAGGCTGGGTGCTGGGGAGAATCTGGTGGGCTCAAATTTGAGAGCGGGGACCAAGAAAGAGTTTCAGGGAGCAGTTGCCCCCAGAAGGCAGTGATTGCAAGGATACTTTGCAGATGTTTCCTGTGCATCGGGAGGGCTCAAATTTGAGAGCGGGGACCAAGAAAGAGTTTCAGGGAGCAGTTGCCCCCAGAAGGCAGTGATTGCAAGGATACTTTGCAGATGTTTCCTGTGCATCGGGAGGGCTCAAATTTGAGAGCGGGGACCAAGAAAGAGTTTCAGGGAGCAGTTGCCCCCAGAAGGCAGTGATTGCAAGGATACTTTGCAGATGTTTCCTGTGCATCGGGAGGGCTCAAATTTGAGAGCGGGGACCAAGAAAAGAGTTTCAGGGAGCAGTTGCCCCCAGAAGGCAGTGATTGCAAGGATACTTTGCAGATGTTTCCTGTGCAACACAACTGCCCTAACCCCTTGGTGGGAGCAGCGGGATCAGAATGTGAAATGCTTTTAATCACCTCCTGGTTGCTGGATTGTGTTTCTCTGATCTTCATGCTACCCTGAGACAAGGTCGTGGAAGACTCGTTATATTTAGGATATAACAATACGTGACTTCTAGGACCACCCAGTCCTCCAACCCCAAATCACCAAGATCTCTGGAGACAGCAGGAAGTAGCCCTCCCTCCATGGAGGCACAAGAGAGCAGGTCTCCACTGAGTTCTGGCTCACACATCCTGCTGAGAGGTACAGAGGTGTGGGCTGAGGGACCTCTGCAGCCAGCCCACACCCTCGGACTCAGGTTCTCTGACCTGGATGTACCCCTTCTGGCCATGTCCACTGAGGCACACCTAGTGGTCAAATGGTCTTACAGAAGTAACAGGGGTATCTGGACTCAGGGGTCCCTACTTCCCCAGCCTGAAAAGGCATTTCTTTGCACGAAATTATATACATTGGAAGCTTTTGTTTTGGCTGAAGGAGGAGGCAAGGGCTTTGATTCCTTGTTGGTGGGATGACCAAAAAGAGAAAACCAAGGAGGCAGAAGGGACCGAATGGTTATGGTTTTCCTACAAGGTCGCACAGACTGGGTGGGTAGCCTCGTTGAGAAGAGGTGTTGGAGCCCCAAGAAGAGGAGTCTGCTCCGTGAGAGCCCTTTGAGACTCCGGGTATGAGCAGTGCTGCTTCAGGACTTGGTAGCAAAGGGTGTGCAGAGTTGGAAAGGTCTCTCGCTGCTTCTGCTCAGAACCCTCCTCCACCACAAAATGCAAAGATTGGGGTGTTTGGAACCCAGACAGATATGCCCTTGGCATAAATGTAGATGCTGTCACGGTGGGGATCATCAGAAGAGCAATAATAAGACCCCCGAAAGCACCTTCCTGGGCAGTTGACATTTTTAAGGGAGACTGTAGACAAGCAGCAAAGACACCATGAGGTCAAAGACAGAGCAACTTTAGAATATATGTGAGATACTTGAAGACGCCCTGAAATCCATGGTGCACAGGGATTTTTGGGAGGGATAGGGCTGGACATCCTCAAGGCAGAAATGGGGTTCCAGCTTCACCAGTTATGAGTGGTAACATCCCAATTAGCCATGACAGTTAATGGCAAAAGGGATTATTTTATAGACACATATAAGCCCTTCTCTTGGAATTAAATACTTGGAGAGAGAAATTCTTCCTGAATTACGGAGTGGTAGGTATTTATTAAAGAATACATGTATATTCTTGAATGAGTTAAATATATATATGCCCAGTGTTCTAGAACAGCATGGTTTCACACATCCTGGGTTTAAGCCTCTTCTGCAATTGTCCCACCAATCACCCAGTCTACGTTTGGACATGTCCAGTTCCTAGAAACTTACCTACGTCTCAAGGAAGTTTATTCCTTCTTTAAATAGCATTAACAGAAAACTCTTTCCTCTACTTGGCTAAACTCTGCCTCCTTGTAACCTGGTTAGTCCTGGTTCTAAACCTTCAGGCTCTACAGAGTAAGTGGCGTCACAGTTTATGGAAGGTCTGTTCTGTTCCACTAAGTCTTCAGGTCTCACAACCCAGATCTCTCATTTCTGTAGACGTTTACCTACTCGTCGTCCTAAACCTCCTCCTCCTGCGCATTTGCGTACCGTCTGATCTAGGCAGCACAGGGCTAGGGCCGGCGTCTTCTTACTTGTTACTTGTGCTTGAGTGGTTTGCTCCAGCCTGAACCAACCTGACGGCAGCGGTTAAACAGCCGCGGTGTTGCAGAGCCATGGATTTAGGATGGTGACCACAGCAGGCTTCTTCACTTTCAATGGGTACTCTACTGATAAGGCCCAAAGAAAGCATTCCAGAAGAAACTCACTCACAAAGCATTTTTACATCGTCCTGTTTGCAGAAAAGCATTAGCTGTCAACTTGAGAAGCCCAGTTCTGCACACTCCCTTGCCCTGGGACACCCATAATACTGCTCTAACAGGAACAATTCCTCTCTGCAGGAACAAAACAGTGGGAAGAGGGCGGGGGGAATAAAGCATGGGGGTGGCTCCCCCTACTTTACAAACCTTGAAGGCGTGCTCCAAACCAGGGGCATCATCAAAGGCCTGAATAAAGACAGTCCCCAGTCTCCGGTCAAGGTCTTCTACTCTCTGATTAAACTCAGAGACATCATTTTCAAATTCCTGAAGAGACATCACGTAGACGTAAGAAAACATGATATTCTGAAGGCCCATCCTGCTGTGCTCTTTACTATGAACATGTGTACTCAAATCGCTTATACCATGGATTTAACTTTCCACAGTTCACCATGGCGTGCCTTAGTTTATCCATGTAGATAGCTACCCTATTACTGCAGCATTTTTTTCCTAGACACTCTAGGCAAAATGGTGCAGAGAGCTGGATGTGAGGTTGCTACGCTGTCCCTCCTGTCTGGGTCCCACCTTCCAGACCCTGAAGCCCCTTCTCTCACCTGCCACCTCAGGCCACTCCAAAAGCTGCCTCAGCAATGGGGCTATTCCATCATTACCCCCTACTTCCCTTCCCCCCACCAAGTGAAAATCCTATTTTTTTCAGTGTAAGCAAAACTGATCTGGCCATTAGGAGGAAAGTAAGCTCATTAAACTAGTATACACTATTTCTTCTAACTACACTTTAATTGCTTAAGACAGCGGCTAGCTATTGTTCCTAAGGTTGCCAAATTCAGCAAATAAAAATACAAGACACCCAGTTAAATATAATTTCAGATCAATAGTAAGTTTTCTATAAGCATGTCCCTTTAATAAGCATGTCCCAATTATTGTATTTTATCTGGCAACCCAAAGTGTGCCCTTTCTTCGAATGTAGCAATTTCCAGAGAAACTTTGTTAACTCAAATCTCTGATTTGTGGAATTGTTATTTCTTATTATTGCCTTACAGTAGCTATGCATATTTTTATGAAAAGACAAAGAAAAGTAGGAAAATGTAGTAGTATTTTTCTACTTCCCAAACCCAACCTTATTAGCACTGTAATATGTTTCCCTGTGCATAGGATTTTGTTTTGCTTTATCACATGGTAGCAAACATATGGTATATATCTTGCTTTGTACTCCAACTCTTTTTTTTTTACTTTAGACTAATGGAATTTTTAGAAAGTGACATTTCCTGGGTTTGGCCAACTAAGATCCCCCTAGACATTGGAGGATGCTCAGAGCAGATTCTTGCTGAATTTCTCTCTCCTTTTCCCTCAAATACTCTCAAAATTCCTTCTCCAGCAATTCAGCCATTCCCTTCTCAGGGAACTCCATTCCTTACTCCAGTACTGACTCTTTTGCTTCTTTCTGTTTCCTGCAGGCTTGGACTCACAGGTCTCAGCTCTCCTGAGCTACAGGTTAGATATGGGCTCCTGTGTCCCGATCCTGGAAAATGCAGCTCTAACCCTTTCCTCATCTTAAGTATTTCCTTGGGAACCAGGGTCTGAATGGAAAACTAGGCTACTGCGTCACTCACCCCTCCCCAGACCACTAATGAAATTCTGCCCACGTGTGTCTGGCCTTCACCTAGCAGTCACTGCTCAAAGCTTAAAGCTCTGGGAGCTGCAGGGCAGCCACAGCCTCCACCAATCATCCCAACCCCACCTCAGCATCTCTGAAACCCTGCATATCATCTGCTTGGAGAAGTCAGCAGTTGGAAGAGGCCCTCCCCTGATCTTTCTCCTGACACAAGAATAATTAAGAGCGGTCTCTGCCGATCAAACCATGGGGACCACAGAGCCAAAGAAAATGCACAGGGAAAATGCAAGTAAATACCCAGACCCTACAGGCTACAGGCATCTGAGAAAGAGACAAACTTGCAAGTTAGCTCTTCCAAGCTCTACCATGCTTTGAGGGTCCAAGCAGTCATAGGAAGACTCTGAGAAGACCCTGTACATCTCTTGAAACTCGTTGTACATCCGCTGGGCCTACTGGCTCAGAGCACTCCCTCTGATGCCACTAAACTCAAGCTTTCCCAATTTGTGGAAATCCAAAGTTGTCTTCAGAAGATCCTATAAAGACAATTTGCAATAGAGTTAAAATAATAATGATGATGATAACAACATCAGATGACACTCAAATTAGTATGGGAAGGGCTGGAAATTATATGGGGGTGGGTGGCTGCTTAGGAAAATGTGAAGGCTGGTTAGTTTTGTAACCTTATTATTAGATTGGGTTGGTATAAATAACTCTTTGTGAGACTCGATAACGAAGAGAAAATTCCGATAAATACAATTAACATACACACACAAATCAAATTTATGCTTCAGCCTCTTTCCGTGTTCTCTAACAAATAAAATATAATAATAACATTATCTACATGGCTGGTGGCTTTATACCCATTTAAAAAATTAATTTCAAATGGACCATGTTATGTGGTTCTAGAATGACAGGTATTTTGGAGGATATTGACAGGAAAGCGGATCCTCCAAACAGTCCTGAGGACAAGCTCAGAGGTGGCACCAACATTCTCACCAATGACTTCTGCTAAGAAAAGACATCTGTGGGGCATCCTTGCCGGGCGTACATGCTGCGGTAGACCCTGTGGCCGGCTGGGTGGTGGTGGGCGATGACAGCTCTGTGTTGGGACAGTAATAGTGAGAGTGAATCAAGTCAATGCGGGCTTAGGATGTAGGCCAGTGCCGGGCACACAGTAAATAGGCAGTGAGTGTGCATTACTGTCACTGTTGATGTGGCAGTATCCCAGCTGTGCTCAGGATTAAGTGACAGGTGACAATACAATCTAGAGCCCTGGGGAGGGCAGGACCCTGCCCGAGTCTATCAAAGATGCTTCACCTCTGATAGGATGGACGCCTTCAGGACACGTCTAATGTGACAGACTGTACTTACCTCTCATGAGAACTCATCGAAAATCAAAAAACCTCCAAACCAAGACATTCTCCCTGTTATCCCTTCCAATCTGTGTGCTTACCTCTTCAACAGGAAAGAGGGAAATTAAGGTACCTTTGTGTCATTTTGGCAAACATGTAGTGTGGACCCCTGGGAGCCGGCTCTCTATCCAGAGGAGGTTTGGAAGTAAAGAAAAGGGAACACTGACATGAGGCTGGAAACCCAGCAGGCCCTGGCACCATTTCAGGGAATTCCCACTGCCACTGGCCACCGCTATGGGCTGACCCATTAGGTAGCACAGGGCTGCCTCTCTCCTTCCTGTCGCTGGGACACCAAGTCCAGCAGCAGAGACAGAGACACTGGGAAGTGCTGAGAAGTGGCTGACTTTCCCTGTGTTGCCAGGTGGGTGCCCATCCATGCAGCCTTGGGCAGCCATCTAAGAACCCTTTTTGCTCAGGTGTGTTCAGGCATGGCTGTGAGCAGGTGGCTGAAGTGGGAGAGGAAAGGAGGAGGAAGAACCAGCCAAGGGAAGGAAGACATACACCCAAACCAGGAGATCTTGCCAACGATGGGGAAATGGGGCAGTCTTTATTTAAACACACGTTCAACTTTGAAAACAGCAGTCAATTTGATTTAAATGAAATAGACTTAAATAGTAATTCAAGTCATTCAAAAAGTGCTTAGTTGCTGTCAGTGTGATAGGAGAAACATATTTGTGCAGTGGAATGTCACCTGGGTATCCATTTTTCATAATTCTGTGGATGTCAATTTCAATTTTTAGGAAATACCCTCTAACCATTTTATTTATTTTTTAACATTTTTATTGAAGTATAATTGCTTTACAATGTTGTGTTAGTTTCTGCTGTATAACAAAGTGAACCACCTATATGTATACATATATCCCCATATCCCCTCCCTTCTAACCATTTTAAAAGGCAGATGCATCTCGATGCATTTGATTACATCGGAAAACTAGATGATGATTTTGTCATACTATTTTATTTCTCAAGAATTCTTGAAGCATGGTCCCAGGTGGTCACTGCAAGGTGTTTTATCTCCAATCTAACAGGCAAATCATAGGTATTAGAAGAATTCTTACATAATCATTCTATTTTTAGAGAAACTCTGGTCACCCAAAACAATGGATATTTGCATTGCTTTACTTAACAAATACACGATGGTCAATACATTTATTTAGGGTTCAACTCCAGGTCTTAAACCTTTCCTTACCCCGCCCCCAATAAAAAGAACCTCCCACCCCACTTTTCTCCTGCACTTTCTATGCCCTTCCCCTGCGTAAGCTTTCTTTAGAACTCTTATAATACTCTGGCATTATAATACACTATTTGGGATTATATTACGTTATTTTCTATCCATCTTTCTCAGTAGGTTGTAAACACCCCAGAGGTCCCACTGTATTTTCAGCCCCTGGAAGAGTCCCAGATGCTGAAGAAATATTTACTGAATGAATGAAGACGTGATCTTTGACCTTTGACTTAGCGACAGCACCCCCAGGAGAAGGTGACGGGGTGGTAGAGACTCTAGGAACATTGGACTCAGAGCAATTGGAGAAAATAAGGAGAATTAGACAAGAGCAGAGAATTAGAAAGCAAGGCCAAACTGTGTCTTTAAATGTTTGAAGGGCTTTGGTCAAATGCAAGGCAGAATCTTGCATGGTCCTGCTCTGAGGGCAAAACTAAGGCAAATGAGTGAACGGGACCCAGGAGATTTGGTGTCAAGTTGTAGGTTGAACTTATAAAATTTCTTATACTTGACCATTCTGACCTACAAGAAATAGCAATTTCATGTGGTTCCACTCCATAAAACAGAACCATCTCATGCCCGAAAGGCCCAACCATAGACTGGGCTGCTAAGACAGGTAGTGAGCTCTCCATCTCTGGGTGGATTTTAGAAGTTTGACATTACGGAGGTATCGTGAAGAAGATTAGTGCATCAGGTGGGAAGTTGTCTTACCACCGTAGTAACAGATTTATAGTAATCATGGTGACTATATCTTTGATTCTTAAAATATTTAAATGTAAGCTCTTTGTTTATTTAGAAGTCCTCACAAAAAAAAGGCCATTAACCAATAAGAGGCTTTAAATTATATTTTTAAAATATCCATTTTTAACCGCCATCATTGTAGACACACGAAATTCATTACACTATATACAGGCTGAAAATGGCAAGTTCAGTGGTAGGACAGAGGGCATAGTG